TTTAGGTGTGTGCACCTCTCTCTCTTTGTCTCAACGAGTATAGTCTGAAGTTCTGCACACACAGGAATGTCTTTAGGTGTGTGCGTTAGTGTGCACCTCTCTCTCTTTCTCTCAATGAGTATAGTCTTTAGGTGTGTGCGTCGAGTATGTGGGTGCAATGCCCTCTGTCTGTCTGTGTGTCTGAGTAGAGTCTTTTCTCCAGAGAATGTGGCTGTGCGCACTGGACAGTGGTTTATAATCTCTCTCTCTCTCTCTCTCTCTCTCTCTCTCTCTCTCTCTCTCTCTCTCTCTCTCTCTCTCTCTGTGTGTGTGAGTACAGTCTTTTCTCCTGAGAGTGTGGCTGTGCTGACTAGACAGAAGTTTATGATATGTTGTTAAACTGTATGAATGTCCTACAGAGTCATCTGACTTGTAATTTTTTGATGATTTCTTAAACTGTATGAATGTCCTACAGAGTCATCTGACTTGTNTACAGAGTCATCTGACTTGTAATTTTTTGATGATTTCTTAAACTGTATGAATGTCCTACAGAGTCATCTGACTTGTAATTTTTTGATGATTTCTTGTGTGTACGACTGTACTGTTTTGTAAAGGCATTTACTGGGACAAATTGTCACCAGAGAAGTTGGGACAGATTCGGATTCTACAGGAGTTGAAGAGGCGCATTGAAGAGGAGACGGGAGAGAAGCTGCCATCTGGTCCGTCAGAAAAGCTTCCGCCCACAGCACAGAGGTCGAGAGGTGGAGGTGGTGGTGCTACCAATCCGAACCCTCGTTATGAAAATGGGCCAGTGGCTAGAGACGGAAGAAGAGGAGGGGAAAACGGTGGACTGTCGGGGCGGATGCCCCACACAGCTTTCGTATGGAACCTCGACTTTAGGACGTCGAAACGCGCTCTTGCCGACCATTTGATGACCTCAGGTGTCCCATTTAGCCGGGTCGACATTCTACGGACAAACGGCCAATCGAGGGGAATGGCAAAAGTAGACTTGCGTAGCAAAGAGGATATGGACAAACTCATTGAGAAAATGGATAGAACAGTCCTGTCTGATCGTGTAATACGGCTCAAAGTAGATGAACCGCGCCCTACGAATAAAAGATGAGCAACATACCTCAAAGGCGCAAATTTTGTAAATGTCGTACTGGCTTTTTTTCTTTTTTGTACTACTGCGAGGCATTGTCATACTACTTTGGAAAGGCTTGAAGGCTTGACCTGTCCATACACCTATAGCAAAATTGGGAGGGGGATAGATGGGAGCTCAATGAAAAGGGTCAGCAAATAGAGAATGATTGGAAAGAAGTTGGGAGAAGCAGTAGGGAATGGAAAGATTTACTTCTAAAAATGGGCGCTACCTTTTACAGCTGCTCTGCTTATGAGAGGTGGCTGTTGGCACATTCTCGGTTCGTTCTGTTGGATTAGCAAAATCTAATGGTCACAAATTCCCTTCTTGTATCTGCAGGAGTTGGCATGAAATTTCAGAGGAAATTGGTGAGAGCATTTTTGGCATTTTGCTTAGTTTGCAAGCTAGTGTAGGCCTTGAATCAGATTCTGTACTCTCGTCGCCCACCAACCACCCGCCAGGGCTGCCAACCAGCCCTCCCTCCCTCCTGACAGCTTACTACATTGTAAGATTGCGCCGTGAAGCGCAGGTCCACTGGAGGGTCTCAAATTATAGTTCTCACACATATGAATTGGTGTTCACATAGCCAGGCATTTGGAGGAGGAGGGCAACAACGACGGCACGTAAAAGATGAAAAAGGAGAATGTACACTCGGTGTTCAGAGTCTCAGCATGCAGCTCGCAGCTCGGGCCAACGACTGCACATAAAAGAAGATGAGAAGGGAGAGAAGAGTCTCTAGCATCTAGCTTGTAGCACCCAAAAAAGAGAATTCTTATGTCTTTCTCTTCTGGCATCTCCACGGGCTTGGAGTGACCGGGTTACGTAGCGGTGGCGGATCGCATGCTGTCCGTGCGGAGTGTGTGTTGATTGCCGTGTCCGTGCTGCAGTGTTATGTGTGGGGTGTGAGTTCAAGGACGCTGCATCCTGGGGGGTGGGCTGGATATCACGACTGGTATGGATTCAGTTTTAAAAACACCTCCAAGGGTTGTAGTGGTTACGAGACTTCGTTGCTGTGGCTGGGAGTGGCGGTTCGAGGCCGTGTGTGCACGGCGGGGCGGGGCTGGGCCTGATACCCGGAAGCATGTTGATCAGTTAACTTCTCCACAGCTGTTTGTCGCAGCATTCTCTTTCAATTCAGTCCTTTTGCTCTTCTATTTCATGCTCATGCACAGTCCCCCCCGTCCAGCATGACAAGTGCAGATGGACTTGATAAAGATTGGCAGGGGGGCGTAACACACAAACAAACAACAAAGATGTCAGCCCGTGGCGTTCGCAGGAATTTCACCACTGGTTTTGGGAAGGCAATCCTACATATTCTTGGGAGATACGACTTCGTGGCACATAATCAGTATGCCGCTGCTGCTGCTTTTTTTTTTTCCACATACATCCATTGTCATTGCAGCCTTTTGCAGACTTTATGACCCTCTCAGAGAGATTATTCAAATGTTTGCGCAGGCAGGCCCCATACCAACAGTACACTGAAAGTTCAGCCTACTTGCAAACGACAAGTGCAGATGGACTTGATAAAGAATGGCAGGGGGTGTAACACACAAACAACACAAACAAACAACAAAGATGTCAGCCCGTGGCGTTGGCAGGAATTTCACCACTGGTTTTTGAGGGATGGGAACCTCCAAAATTGACTTGACCTGTGGTTAAAAAGTCTCACGACAGACCGTGGAGGGACGGAAGCCTCCAAAAAATGACTGGACATGACATGCGGACACCGCCATGTGGCGTTAAGGGGAGGTGCAGTGACAGGTCATTGCTCGGCACTCGCACCACTGATTTCCCCCATCCAACTGGTACAGCCTTCGCTCTTGCGCTACTGCTGTGGTGCCAACCTACCCCGTGGGTTAGGGAGAGCTCCGGGTCAGTTGGTCTTCCCCCGTACTATACATAGATTAGCGAGACGATGCGATGGATGAGTACTGGCACGAAGAGCGAGAGATGAGAGAAGAATATAGCTCAGTTTGCAAAAAAAAAAAGACCATCTCAGAACTGCCTGTGAAAAGAGTGACGGAAGTCTCCAAAACTTGAACTGACCTGACCTGCCCTGCAGGTAAAAAATCTCCTTTGTGAAAGGCGAGGTTGATTGGGTTGTCTGTAGATATCATATCACAGCTATATATTTGTTACATTGACTTGGGTTTGACTCATTTATCTCAAGGAGGAAACTAGTTGATCTAAACCAAACTAATCTACCTAAACCATGCTGTGTTCCAATGCTTGGGTATTTAACTCCAACTCTGAAGGCAAGGTTCACAGGGAGGGCATGCACATGCATGAGGCAAGCAAAAGTGGATGTGCCGATGGCCCGCGTAACACAAGAAGAACTTCCAGGTTGTTACATCGACTTGTGATGAAGGTGGAAAAGGACATGACCAAGATACCATAATAGGGCCAGCATGTCACAAGCTTTGACCAGAGAATACATAAGCCCGCCATATACGCCCACCATGTCACATCTTCTCCCTCCATCAAAAGAATAGGCTGTCGGGGATACGAGCACCAGATAAACGGCCGATCGCATTCCTCTAATCAGAACCTTGTTGGTGACCTCCCTGACATCAGACTACTTCTCAACCTTTTGGGTCCAACACGGCACGCTATGATCCATGTTATGTATCGGGAAAAATCCAAGTCAATCCCAAGTCAATGTAACAAATATATAGCTGTGGGCTGATGTTATATATGTGAGCTGACACATATGATGTATGTAGCTGATGTTATATATGTGAGCTGATGATCCATGTTATGTATCGGGAAAAATCTTTGTGAGCTGACACATATGTAGTGACAGCATTGACAGCTGGCCCATGCACATCAGCAATGGCCACAGAGACAGCTGAGATATAAAAAAGAACAAGGGCACAGTAATGACCATTGAGATGATCAACACATACCGAGGAAGAGCGAGGACAGCATAACACAGCAACGACTGTCACATGCACAGAAATGGCAACAGGCGTTCGCATGGCATAGACATTCAACATGACTGTCACATATAGAGAAGAACACTGATTGCATACACACTGCACCGGCAAAATGATGCTACACTGGCCCCAACCTTTCATAGGTGGTAAAGCAACCATCTATTGAGATTAGACCGCACAACTGAAATGCAAAATAGTACATCTGAAAAAGTTGTGGGGTTTCAAGATAACGGCCAGATAAAACATGTGAGGTGAGAGAAAAATGCATATACCTCTCCCCCAATAAGGCGAATACAGCTTAAAAGAAAAAAAAAAGAATTAGTGCATTGACTAGTGTCATAATTTTTTTTTCTTCTTTAAATACTAAATAGCACTTTATCTGCTTTATGATCGATCATATTTTAAGTTCTTGACAATGTTATCTTATTGTATAACTGCGGCTCCTTCCCCCACGTTGGTGCCATATTGCATCGGCTTGCCATTTCCACTTCCCATTTCCACTTCCAATTTCTGTTCCTGACAGCACCATCAGGCTGCTCATCACCCGTGTGCAGTTCTCCATCAGCCAATATGCGTTTCTCGATCGGGTCATGTTCCATTTAAACTCTACCCAGCATATTGTCGATATGACTCGGAGTTACCTGAGGTCGGCCTGGTACGTCATCGAAATTTCCCCTTCGCTCCTTTATCCAATTCGCCTGCCCTCGAACACCAGTCCTCTCTTCTGAGGTTGAAGTGGTCCTCTTGCTTGCAGGTCCGACGTCCCGAGTTCAAATTTTAAATTTTTCCTTACACGGGCTTCGTCTTTCAACTATCTACAGAAACTACCTCACTCTTAATCATCCAGTCATGCCTGGCAGGTTATCAGGATGTCCCACATAAATTCCCTGAGATGTCCCACATAGACCCTCCAGGATGTCCCACATAAATTCCCTGAGATGTCCCAAATAGACCCTCCAGGATGTCCCACATAAATTCCCTGAGATGTCCCAAATAGACCTTCGCCAAGGACTGTACCACATAAATTCCCTGAGATGTCCCAAATAGACCTTCCCCAAGGGCTGGACCAGTTGAAAGGGAACTCTCCTACTACTACATCTCATGTATGTCTTGCACAGTTCGGCGGCTTTGCGTGTATATCTCTAAAAAAATAAAGATCCTGAAGTTCATAATTTCTGCACTTGCAGAACCGTGACAACAACGAAGGTGTTGCAACTTGTGACATCTTGGTAATGTAATCATGGCGACTTTGATCATTGCCATTGCGTTGGCGCTGTGACTTCAATAGGCTGAAGCACAACTGGAAAGCTGAAGGGTTTGATTTTGTTACTTGTGAAATTATCCGCTCCGGAGTCCAAACTCCCCACCAACGGCCCTACTCCACGAAGTACACACAAAGTTAGCTCCTCTCCTTGGAATTCACCATTGTTATCAGACTGGGCAATGCGATTGTCCGCTTACAGCTTGAACATTAAATAGTAGTCAGCTCAGATCATCAGCACGGAAAGCCATATTCCTCGCAGCGCACCCGTGCGATGACCTGTGCCCGGTGCAAGAGCGCTGGCACACTCCCCCCGCATTGATGTGTGTGCCCAGGTGTGTGGTGTGGTGCGCTGCGGGAACTATGGTGCGCCACCCCCCTTTGGTTGTAGACCTCTGATCAGGATGTCTCTGTGCATCTGGACCCTCCAACTCCTTGCTTCGGATATTTTGGGAGCTGATCACACGGGCCCAACTTGTACTGCATATTTTATGAGGAGTTCTGCGCGGCAGTTGCACACAGAGACACAGATGACCCTTTGAGAGTGTTGGGGCACACGGAAAGAGAGCACAGGCACATAGTCACAGGGAACTCACCCGCATTAATTTCACCCATTCGCAATCAGTGCACCTCCTCGAGTCCGCATTGCTCGTCCGTTTCACACTTCACCAGGTCCTGTCCTCTTACGATTCCCAAGTTTTGGTTTCTGCACTCCAAAGAAGCGTTTGCAGCACTCCAAAAACAGCCGATTGGTATACTATCTTCTCTTGTGAGAGTTGCATTTGGGGCTCTGAGTCTTCCTTTTGTTCCTCCATCTCCCCACCTATAGCAGAAACCTCCTCATGAGCTGAACTGCCATGGACTTTCCACTCCTCGCTCGCGGCTTTGGGTTTTCCAGCTGCAGACAGAATCGTGCAAGTTCCGAGTTACTCAGTCTGTGATTCAGCACAACGCTTTCACGGCGGCAACACTGCTGCCAGACGATGTTCCCATGTCAGCTGTTCTCTTCTCTTTTCACTGTTATGAACTTGCGGTCTTTTGACTCTTTCCTTTTTTTTTTTGGGTTGGGGGGGGGGCTGGGGGTAAACTCTGAAAAAGCAAGGAATCCATTATCATGGAAGAAAACATGGGGGGGAAAGACATGAGGGGGCCGGCAATTCCTCACAAACAACCCCCCTACTAGTATGGTCTTAATTTACACATCGACAGCGAGAAATGAAACCATATGAATCCATGGATCGTCAGACGTACTGGGAATGTAACCAAATGAAATGGTGGGAAAAGGGCATATAGACCATTTGAGGGAAAGATGAGTTTAAACTTTAAACTTTAAAGTATACACCCACCAGTTTCGTGTCCTGCGTCTGAAGGCAGTTCTTCTTCAGCCAGATGGTTACGAATACTGTTCCTGCTTGGCATCATCACTGTCATGGAAGTATGATTGCCGACTGCATCGTCAGAAGAGAGCATTTGTCTGCTAATAGTGGACACGCGGTCAGGATCATCATCAAGGAAACCCTTCGAACCCAAGTCATGCGACTCGACTGCCCCCTGAGGCCATTTTTCATGGCCAATCATCTCATGCACCAACGGATTGTCAATCAAATGACCACTGCGTTCTCTCAAGGATAACTCCTCCGACCCCATCGTCAGATCTGCACCAGCAACTGTGGACCTTCCTGCCCATGCCCTGTCCAGACCTGATGGACGCACTGCTGATCTCTCCAACTCAGAGTCATTCATTCCTTTCCCCTTTTCATTGCCATTGCTTCCCACGCGCCCTCTGATCTCCCTCTCCTGCTGTTGACTCTCCAAAGGACCAACCCTGACCTTGTCTTTTACTTTGGCCTTGCCAGGAAGAGATGATGCTTGCCCTTCTGCAACCCTTTGCTCTGTGGACTTGATCGCGGGGATGGCATCATCAACATGGTTTCCACTCACCCTGGGGCTCCCTTCATGGCGTTGTCCGATTTGCGTGCTGTCCGCACCATTCCATACGCCATCAAAATCCCTCCGCCACACCACACTCCCATCCTGGAACTCCTCCAATGGGTCCCCCAAGTCCTTTTCGAACTGCCCCAAAGGGGCCCGCAAGTTCTCAGCTTGAGATACTCCTGAATCTCCTGTTCGATGATTGGCCTGGCCAGCAGGATTGGTGGGGCCTCCAAGTGATCCAAGTCGAGACTGCTTGGCACTGCGGCGTTGACCTTGTGGCCTTCGCAGTTGAGTACCCCTTCCTCCACGATCATGCACGTACGATTTGTCAAGCGCATCTGTATTCACCTCAGAGTCTGTGTATCCTGTATTTACCCCCCTGTACTCTGGGGTCTGCCAACCTTTTTGAAGTTGCTCCCGATCTCCTACTTTCCCCCCACTTCCATTAGAAGATGGTATATCTTCCGGATAATAAATAGTATCATCGGGGCGACGTCCCAGTTGAGCAGGAGGTGCAGTACTCACCGAATCTCTGGTACCGCCACCTGTTCTTGTCGCCGACCCACTTGTCCACGCCCGCTCGCTTCTTTCTCGCTGGCTAGGAAAATTAGCTCCACTAGCAGTCAAGGCATCTTTCCATCCAGCTCCGAGCAAATCCTCGTCTTCATCTTCCCCTACCCGCTCCTCGCCTTGTGAAACACGCGGATTTGCACTGGCTGTGCCACGTTTTTCTGAGCCTTCCTCCCTGCTCTCTCTTCTTCTCCAGAGAACTCTTTGACCTCCTCTCACTGCCTGTCCTCCGCCCGCTCCTCGCTCTCCTCGTCTACCCTTCAATGCGGAAGAGATACCACCCTGTCCAGCCCGGCCATCCCCGACATTGATGGCCGAAGTCAATGCCTTTCTTCCTTGACCACCGACTCTTTCATAATTTTCCTCCTCTATTGCACCATCGTAATCCTCAACTCCTGCTCCTCCTCCTCCTCCTCCTCCTCCGCCTCCGTCTTCCTCTTCTTCTTGTCTCCTGCCTACAATCACAGAAATCCGTGATGCCACGTCTTGAATGAATGAGCCCACGGATGAATCCTCCTCCTCAGGGTCTTCGCTGCCTGCAAAACTGAGCTGCTCTCGTCGAGGACCATTCCGTCCCCCTGCCCTGCCGTCACCTTTTCCCTGTAGTACTACTAGTAACCTCTTCAAGGGGTTCCACCAACGTTGATCATCTTCCACTTCCTTCTCTGCAAAGTCCTCCCCGTCCTCCATCGTCAAGCCCTCCCGACGCTGAACCTGCTGGGAGTCTCCACTCTTCTGCATCCTTGCCAGCACTACCCTAGCAGTGGCGAAGCATAACCCGACAAATGCAGCCCCAAGGAGAGCAATCAGCACCCTGGAGGTGATGTCCTCACCGCTTGGAGATTCTCCTTCTTCAAACCCTGCTGTCCAGTTTCCTTGTACCAAGCCAAAGCTGGACATGACTCTATCTAAGACCACGTTCTCATCACCACCTGATTCATTCCCCATCCCTCTGAGCTGTCCGGACGTCTGCGGACCGGGAACGTTTCTGCGAAGCTCCGCCCCACTTTGCTCGACAACCTCCTCCCTCGCCGCAGCTGCAGTGGCAGCTTTAGCAGCAGAACGACTGTCCTTCTCTTGTGATTGTCGTGCCTGACTCCATGTCTGCCTCTGTGGCTGCCCCTTAGCTTCCTGCTCATTCTGAGGATCAGTTAACTGTTCTGCTGCTGCGCCGCCCGGCTTTGCTACGGCGGCTGTGGCTGTGCTACGGGCTACCTCGTCCTTCTGAGGACTCGATCCGTTGACCTGCTGCTTCTGAGGCTCCTTGGGCCGACCCTTGACGGCTTCCCCCACTACAGGATCAGGAGTCTTGATTGGATCATCATCCTCTTGCCCATCTTTCGACGACGCTTGCAAACCCACAGAGGGTCTCTCCCTGGTGTCTCCATCACGGACAGCCATGTCAGAAGACTGACGTGGCTCTTCCAAGCCACCAACTTCACCTGACGCCTTCGGCGTCTGCTGGGAAGTTGCTTCTTTGCTCATCTCATCACTCCCATTGCCTTGTCGTCTGACATCATCACCGCCACGTGTCTCGTTCCTCTGCGCATCCATGGCATCATCCACTTGGCCACTCGCGCGGGTTTCTTCGCCCAAGCCGTCCACACTCCCTGCCACCCCATACTTTCCCATCCCCGCCACCCCATATTTTCCCATCTTGCCCACGTCTTCTCTACGGCCGTTGACTGTTCTGCCTTCAGCTGCTCCACCAATCGAGTCACGAGGCGGCATTGTAATCATCTCTTTGGATTCCGGTGCAGGGGCCATCTCCTGTGATCTCATAATCAGCTCTTCGAACACGTCAACCAATTCCTCATCTGACATCTCCCGAAATCTGGTCTCACACACAATCCGAAACAACCACCCATCCCGAGCATACCGAGCAGGGGCAGGGAGCCATGTAAGGTAAAAAATCTATCTGCATGTCAGTGATCATTAGTGCTCTGCAACCGCTTCTCTTTTTTTTATTCTTTTTTTTTTTTTTAAACCTCTTCTCTTCTGCCATACCAGATACAGGGAAAAAGAATACAAAAAGTTAAAAATATTCAAATTCTTTCAAAAATACAAAAGAAAAATCCGAAAATTCAAACTTGGAAGGCAGTTCTACTCTCAGGGTATGCAGTACAGGGCCTCGCTCCACTACTCCCCAAATGTGCAAAATGTTGAATGAATGAATCTTTTGCTAGATCATGGAAAGATCCACGGCCATATTTGTTGTCTTTCGCGCATGTGGAGAGTAGTGGGGCCAGGCCCATATACTCATACTAGCGCTTTCCTGCCAGTTATGTGCAATTATGTGCATACTCAGTCTTAAAACTATGCGTAAAACGACAAGTTTCATTTTGGGTTTTAGCTGAAGTGACAAAAGTGACAACTTGAAGAAACCCACAAAGGTGTTCAGAAATTTCGGAATGATTTCGTTTTTCTGGGAACAAGCAAAGCCTAGCAAATTAATTTTCGACCGAGCCGTATCCCAAACCGACACAGGTAGGTTGGCAAGTAGAGTATACGAAGGCGCTTGAGATAATCATGTTGAAGGAACTCGGCAAAATGACTAAGTAACTTCGGGCGGAGGAGTGCGTTTTTGCAAGGAGTGAGAGTATGCTCTCACTCAAAAGAGTCTCAGGCTGGAGGGCGCGGTCAGCAGCAGCAGACTGGTTGACCTCGGGGTTGGGATTGGATCCAGATGGCTCGCGATTAGTAGGATTGGCCTTGCAGGCTCTTGCTTTCTAAGTCTTGTTTTGGGTGGTGGGGGAGGTGAAAAAAAAAAAAAAAAAAAAAAAAAAAAAAAAAAAAAAAAAAAAAAAAAAAAAAAAGAGGTTATGGGAGGTGTAGTTGAGAAAACCCGGAGCCGACGATGCCTGAGTGGTACTAATTGGAATTCCACTTCCCCCCCAGCTGGCGTATCGTGCTAACAGACCGGGCAAGAAAGGCACACGTGTATATCGGGCCTCGCTGCACTACTCTCGACATGCACAAAAGACAAAAATCATGGCGGTGTATCTTTCCATATTCTACGGGAAGATTCACTCCTGTTTTGCACATTTCGAGAGTAGTGCAGCGAGGCCCATCATATTGGTTTATGGCGACATGTTCTCTTGTGGACCACCTACCGGTAGTATTACGATATTCGTGGCTGTAAACGAGATCTCGACGGATCTTAACGAGCTGCGTGAGCGCAAAGGAACGTTCTTGAACACAAATCAGTTATGGGAAATCGATATAAAAAAAAGAAATGCCTGTTTTCCTCCGCAGCATAAAAAAAAGGACTAAACTCCGAGGCAAAATCAGAAACTTTTACCCGTTTAGATAGAGACCTGTATTAAATGGTTAAATTAACTAAGTTGAGAGAGGAATAGAGTTGAATATAGTCCCTAATGAGAGGTTCGACTCGGAGTTGCACTGTGAGAATTGGAAGGCATTCGGCTCGGCTGGTGCCGTAAGCTAAACTGGCTGATGCTGCCAGGATAACTCCGGGTAGAATTGTGGNAAAAAAAAAAAAAAAAAAAAAAAAAAAAAAAAAAAAAAAAAAAAAAAAAAAAAAAAACAAAAAAACTTTTACCCTCTTACCGCCGGGCCAGCTGTTCCGCCAAAATGCGCTCCAAGGAAGTCGCCGACCTGCGTGTCATGCCTGAGCCAGATGCCAATTGCAGTGATCGCTGCTGTTGGGCGACAACTGAAAGACGCTCCGCGGGTGCTGCCCCCCGCATCGTTTCTGCAGGCAGAGGAGGAGCAGGGGGAGAAGGAGAAGGAGGCAAAAGAGAAATATAAGTACTTCGCTCAGGCGGGATCCCGACAGACAGGTTATCAGCTGCAACGCGAGGCACCCACGTGTCAGAAACCAATGCCACGTGCACGCTGCCCACCGGCGCGAGCCGCACGTACGGCTGTTGCTGCTGCGCGGTTAGGTTCTCAACCAATGGCATGGATTGCGGACTGGTAGCCGACAAAACGCCAGAGGCAGAAGCAGCGGAAGGAGGAGGAGGAGGAGGAGGAGGAGGAGGGGGAGGAGATGAAGGCGACGAGGATAGTCGGGGGTCACCGTGGCTGACAACCTCGGACGCGAAATCGGAAGCAGGGCTTGAGGGTGATGAAAGAGCGGGGTCCATGAAAGACCTCCCCCCCTCCCCCCCGTCAACGACGGATCCCAACGCGACGGTCTGAGCGGGCGCTAATTCTGCAGCGTGCATATCGAGACACGTGGTCTGTGTCCCGTCTGCACTGGCCTCATCAGGGTCGAACGTCGACGCGGCGCCACATACTGCGACGGGCGACGCGATGGGGACCTCCGCGAGAGCTGGCAGTGGCATACTACCAGCACACAATGTGACTGATGCGGCTGCAATGATACAGCACACGGCCTGTTGCACCGTATCCACACCAGCCTGAGCCCACTTCCCGTCGTGCCCATGCCGGAGCTTCATACAGTCGTGATCGCCGTTAAGCTTTCCGTATCCTTGGCCGCCGAGCCTCGGCCTTTGTTCGCTGACGACGGCGGCGACGCTTTCCCCTCCACCTCCGCCTCCAATTCTCCTTATTCCCGCGCAGCTACTTCTCCGAAGCTCATCGACAGCAGGTGTCGCACTGACGACGGCGCGCTTTGACGTCCGCCTCCACACGAGCATTTGATTTTGATTTGTTCCCTTGCCTGCAGCACGGGATCGCAACGACCGACTTCCGACGGGGGATCTGGATCTCGCACTCTCTTCCGCCTGCGGCACAGGAAAGGCGCACAAGTGCGAATGGGAATTATCCGCCTTGGACAATCTGTTTAGCTCAAGATGCGATTGCACCCACCCATGGCCGCGCGTGCATTCTTCCAGAATACCTCTCGCTGATCTCTGGAATTCACCATTATATCTAATCGTACTGCCTCGCTCGATCTCAACTTCTTCTTCCTGCTTGTCGTCGTCGTCGATGTCGCCATCGCCGTGCCCAGTGCCGCACAACTTCGCAGTCCCTTCCCCCCGTGTCAATCCCGAAAGCACCAACATATCTCTCCTTCTCTTCTTCTTCGTCTTCGTCTTCACCTCCTCCTCCTCCTCTTCCTCCTCCTCCCTTGGCCAGGGGATCGCCGACCACCCTCCATACGCAGACAAAGACGGGGCGACCCAAGGCGATCCCTGATAGGCCACGACAAGCGGGGAGCGGATGGGCGACCGTCGACGCGACGCCACGTAATCTCCATCACACCATCGGCTCCGCTGGGATGTCCTGCACCGAACACGTATTATACCGTTCTCGTCGCCGGCATCTCCGCGCCGCCTTACGGACGGACAGAGCCGCCGAGCAACACTAACCCTGCATGGCTTGACAGGAGGACCTTTCAGGAGGACGTGGCCGCGCAAATCGAAAGCGGAGGTGCGCCGCAGTTTCTCATCTGTCGGCAACTCCCAGGCTTTCGCTTCAGATAGACTCCTGCCACGTGTACACACGAGAGCTTCGCGCTCATTTGTCCGGTGAAGCCGCCGCCTCCTCGTGGCGTGGTGGAAGAGACACACATCCACCGAGCCCGATGTCGCTTTGCGATATGCGAAGCCATCGCCGTCAAGTACTACCGCTGCCAGCTTCCCTTCTCCTACCGAAGCCACGTGTCCCTTGCCCTTGCCCTCCTGTAGTCGTCTCCGCCCCTTCCGCGTCCACGGAGGCGAGGGCCTGTCTGACTGCACGGCGACGGCAACGGCACAGATGGTGCTTCCCCACCCAACGTCGGTGCGAGCAATCATTCTACCCTGGAGGGAGATCGTCATTCTACCCAGGAGGGAGATCGTCCTCTCTGAACTTCCGGGGCGCAAAACGACAAAGCCGTGGCTGACGTGTAACTGCCACAAATCGAGAGCTCGTCCGCGCCCCCGTCATCAACCCTGCCCGGTGGTGAAGCCGAATTTCGCAGAGGTGTGGTCTTCCTCTTCCTCTTCTTCTCCTCTTCTTCTCCTCTTCTTCTGCCTGATCCAGCCTCCACCTCCTCCTCTCTTCCTCCCTCTCCTCCTCGAAGTGCTGTTAGCTGCTCCTGCTGCTGCTCCTGCTAGACGGAGCGCATCACACCCCGCGCGAGTTGAAGTGCTGGTCGTATTGTTGTTCCAGAGGAGCTCACTGACAGACTGATAAGTCAAATTGCAATAGATCTTCCAAGTCTGTTGCTGATTACATCCTAGGAGAGAAGAGGACGAACCACGTGGCCGACTTCTCTGTTGCCCAGGCACTTATGAGCGCGAGAAGATGATGCTCATCTCTCTACGACCGGAATCCTTTGTCTTGTGATCTCGACGGCTAGATAGTAGCATGTAGTACTTGATCCCCCATGAATGACGATGAATGAGCCTCACTCACGACGTTTGCATCGCTGATTACATCCCACTTGTCCCCCTCCGCTCTGAGGACTCTGTCCACTGGAACGTTGGCGATGCCACTTTTTCACTTTGGATTATCGATCAGATTGACAAAACCTCATTTAATTCATGTCCTCAACTGGAACAACTCCCGCCCAACGAGCGGTTTCGTGCTAACAGGGACGGGAGCCGTTTTCCATCGAGCACGATGCGTCAGTGGAAATATGAAAAGCACAGCTGCGTCTGTAGTCTCGGGTAGAGTCTCGGGTAGAAGTGCGTTGGGTGCCCTCTTTTTTTCGTTCATGTTGTGGCGTGAGAGTTTTGGATAATATTGCGAGAGAAGGCTTGCATCTCATCTCCCTCGATAAGGACGGGAATGGTGTACGGAGTTTTTGAACACGGACGGTTTAGGCTATACGCAGTCTCAGGCCTCGGGTCAATGCAACCCAAAATATCCCTGGTATTTCCTTTTGATCCGTTTGAATCCAGGAACATGCGGGTCCCGCCAGATCTTTTCTCTCACGCGCTCAAAAGTCTGCCGATATAAGGGCATACTCACACTAGGCCCTCTAAAAGGAGGACTAGACCTGGCCGCTCATTTTGCGATTCTGCCATTTTGAGGGCGTGGTGTGAGTACATTCTAAGGACACAGTCACACTAGGCCCTCTAATCGCATAATCCCAAAATGATCGGCCAGATGGCCGCTCATTTTGTGATTTTGCAAGTTTGAGAGCCTAGGGTGAGTATGCTCTAACTCTGTTTTTCGATGGCCTTGAGGTATCATCATCTAGTTGATCGGCCCCGGTAAGCCCGGCAGTTTACCGTCGGTACAGTCGATCTTCTGTTCTGAATCCATCAAACGAACTGCATTGTTCAGGGACTCTTTCCAGCACTGCCAGGTGCTGCTCCCCACCACTGGATGGAGCCTCTCAGGGAGTGCTAGTGGTGCCTGCTCTTATCAGCACCCCTAACACTGACATACTGTGCAGGCGCGGGTAATGTGACCATGAGGCCGGCCCGGCCTGGCAGTTGCGAAGCGCAGAGGAGCAAGGGATGGTGGCAGCAGTGCCCAGGGATGGAAAGGGAAGCAGGTATAGCTGGGGTATAGCCAGGGAAGGCGCAGTGGACGCAAAGCCTGAGGGCACCCGATTAGCATAGCCCTGTGCAAGGGGACCAAAAAGGGGCCCTGCAGGTTATGTCTCCGACACCCAAGGAGCATCCTGGCAGGGGTACTTGGGGGAGATGATCGTATCACTCCCCGGAGTACACTCGGCCTGGTTTTCAACGAAAGAGAAAAAACAAGGTCACTGACACTCATGAATGTCATGAAGGGGAGGTGATACATGCCCGATTGGGCAATGTACAGGGAGCCAAGGATCCGCAATGTGATGAAAAGGAATGAATGGACAATGCAGTGTCAGTGAAGCATCAACAAGCAATGTACATCCTGATACATACAAAATGGCACGAAGTAGCGCAGTGGAAGGGCCTCGTTAGACACTCCTTGGGGACGTGAAATCCACAAGGACGCGCTCTTTCCACCTATCCTTGGGGACGAAATTGAAAAAGAAATATGAAAACACCACAAGGAAAATTCCTTGTGGCATCCTTGTGGCCGCAGCCATTTCTTCCTTGTGCCCAAGGGACCTCGTGAGGTCCCTTGGGCACAACGAATCTGCGTTTCACGGAGAGGAGAGGGCACACGGGTAGATAGACGTTACAGCTGAGAATCTGGATCGTGGCGGCACCCTATTGGCTGAAGGCCTGAAGTACAACTGTTTTTTTTTTTTCTTTTTCTTTTTTTTTTTTCCTAACATCAGGCTTAGGAAATGTCCTCGGGCGACGTCCCTGAGGACAGGTGGAACGAAGAGCCCAAATTCCCTTACGAGCCACAAGGAAAATTCCTTGTGGCCCAAGGAACTCGTAAGGAGTGTCTAACGAGCCCCGAAGACTAAAAGATAAGTCCTGACCTGACCGGGACTGACACGACATCCCATCATACACCACACATGTGAGAGGAGGAGGAGGGACCGCACACATAGAAGAAAGGTCCCTCCTTTGTACACGCACATGGGGAGGTACCACAGAGGAGAGATGGGGAAAGAGGCGAGACGAAGCTGGAGGCGAGGGAGAAGACCGAGATCGCAATAGCGAAGTCCAAAAATAGTCCCTTGCCGATGCCCAATCAATGCCTGCCTAAAAAATGCCGGATCAGATCCTGGGCGCTCTGCCCACAGTAACCTCTGCCTGTATCCTCTGCCTGTAACCTCTCTGTCTCTCGTATCTGATGAAGAAGAAGAAGAAGAAGAAGAAGAAGAAGAAGAAGAAGAAGAAGAAGAAGAGGAGGAGGAAGGAGGAGGAAGAAGGAGGGAGGAGGGAGATGAGAGGGAGACCGGCGAAGAAGATGAAGATGTCGCCTTCCTCGTTGTCCCACCTGCAGATGCTACCGCCGAACTGACCACCGTCTTGTTGTCGTCGTGTCCAGGTCGCGGGCGCATAGGGAGTCCCAGCTATGGCGCCAGGTAAGTCCCTAACGCAGGTATGACCTCCACCCCTCTGCCTTTCGGTGTTCAGCCTCCAACTCCGTAGCGCAGCGCTCAACTAGAAGCGCGTCGCTCAAGAAGTGAGCTACTCCAACTGTCCCCTGCCCAGCCTCAGTCCAGCTATAAGTAGCGTTGGGCCTGCTGGGCGCTCCTCAAGTACTGGCCTCAAAACGACCTACTCGGTCTGGGCCCCTACCGGGTATCCAGACCGCGTTGCTGATGTAGCGAGGCGCCAAAACGCGCCTGGCCTAAAAACAGCCTCGTCCCTGTGTCCTTGGCCCAAGGCTTGGGGCCTGCAAGTCCGAAACGACGTTTGCACAGACAAAAATAGGACAACAAGTAAATGCCGCCTTTAATCGGAACCTGTGGTCTAGGGGCTGCCGTGGGCCTCCAGGGCTCGTGTCCGATGGGAACGCGGCCTGGGGGGCCCTGAGCAATCGTCAGGGCCCACAAATGGGGCATGTGTGTAAGTGCAACATATAACACCCCCCCTCCTTATGAAGTCAAGCCAGGTCGAGGGCGAAGCTGGCGATTTGAAGGTGGGACATGGACACGAGCGCGACGTGGAGCCGAAGATGTCGGCTTGCCTTGCAACTTGCGTTCGTAACATGTGATAACATCCGAAGTTGTTGCTTGAAGTTCCACACGGGTCAACCAATGATCAGCTTTATGGGTGCAGTAAGTACTCAGTCAACCTGTTGCCATAACGTCGTTGGGCGATGATATCGCCGATCTCTTGAAAACCGTCCATAGAGGGTGGGTCTTGCAATCATCGCCTCATGTTCCGCTGGCATGAAAAAAGTCAACTTGGAGCAATGAAAGACCGGGTAGACGGGCAAGTGGGCGGGCACTTGAATGACGAATGAAGGTCATTCGGGTGCATCCCTAGCAGGTGTCACGATTGGTCAGGGCCCCATCCATTTCGAGAGAGCTTGCAAGAGATATCTTGTTCGAGACCGAATTCTGCAGCGGAGACCCATACGAGGTGGCCAGTGCAGAATGGACAAGGAAGACGATGGCGATTAGCCTGTTAGCTCATTCGTTGCTGCGTTTTTGCCATTTGGTCGCGTGCCTTGACAAGTAGCTCTTGTATCCGACGCAAGAAGAGAAGATGGTTGTTGCTCTCGACCGCCCGTGGGATGATTGTGTCCAATGGAGAGGTGACCGGTGAGTCGTGCTCGAACTCAAAGGGCAACATCCTAACAGCCGGATGAATGGATGAGTTGTATGCCAACTCGACATCCGGCAGCCGCTCAACCCAATCCTTTTGGTTGGGACGGATGAGAGTGCGAAGGAGAACTTGTGCGATCTGATGCGCCCTCTCCATTTGGCCATCGGTTTGGGGGTGGCGAGCCGAACTCGGCTTGAGAGATGAGCCCCATCGTTTGATGAGTGCCAACAAAAAAATCGGACATGAACCGAGTATCGTGGTCGCAGACGATTTCCTTGGGGTAACCCTTGGTTCGAATCCAATCAGCGTAAAGAACCTCCGCCAACTCTGGTGCCTTGGCATGATAGCGCCAAGGCAAAAACATGGCGAACTTGGTGAGTCAGTCCACACCGGTCATGTGTTTGGCGAACGACCCGGTGATATACATGGCAATCGCTTCCCTTTGGCTCAAGGAGACCGGTAATGGTCGCAACTCGCTATACGAACGATGATTGCAGGATTTGTAGCGTCGGCAAACCGTGCATGAGTCACAATACCGTGTGACGTCGCCGAGAAGCCCGAACCACAAAAATTGCTCGCGAAGTCGCCCAATCATTCGATTGCTGAAATACTCGACCGGGTGTCAGTCCACACCACAAGACCTCCGCGAATAGTAACGTGGCCTTGAGGGTCAAAAATAAACCTCGCGCATCCTCACCAAAATCGAACGACTGATCCTTGGATTGAAGCTTGGTCAAGTGGGCCGCGATCTTCGAGTAT